CACACATCCGGCACACACCTATACAACAGCACACAAAGTATACATAATTACACGAACTATACCCTCATCCATACACAAACACACACACACACACACACACACACACACACACACACACACACACGCAGGGTGGGAAAGAGAGAGGTGACGGGGACGGGAAGGCAAGAAAGAGAGAAGATGGGGGAAAGAGTAGGGGCCAAGGAAAAGAGAAAGAGGGAAAGGGAAATAGTTTACGGAAGAGAGAGAGAGAGAGAGAGAGAGAGAGAGAGAGAGAGAGAGAGAGAGAGAGAGAGAGAGAGAGAGAGAGAGAGAGAGAGAGAGAGAGAGAGTTGTCTATCAGCTACTGGTGTTTCCCTGGGCAAGCAATATGCCCTATGTTATCCACTGTGGTTTTGAGATCAATTACTTAAATCAGTATTAGGGTCAGTGTTGGTAAATATGTATAAAAAGTCAGATAAGTAATTCACCTTTTTTGTAAATAACTTTAGACGGCCTGTTTTTATCAAATTTTGACAGGTACATCTCCCTTTTTCAAACACGTGCAATAATTCGCCTGCTTGTTGTAAATAGGACAGGTCCTTGTGGTTGTAGCAGAACCTCTGTCATAACCACTTGAAATACGTGATTCGTTTGATGCCTAAAAACAATCCATCTCATGTGTTGCATTCTCATTACCTGGTCTAATTATATGACGTGGTTGGCAAACCTTCCAAGCATGAATTGCTTTCCATGATGTTAGGTGTGGCTTAAAAGTTGGTCATGGTTTGCTTTCCTTAGACCCTGTGTGAGATATGCTTCTGTTTATTAGTTCCTACATCCAGAACATTCGTTATCGCAATGGATTCTTCAGGTATCACAGCAGCAAGCTTTGTTCCAACTCTGCTAGTGCAATCGCATGCAGTTAGCGTGTGGATAGTATGTAAGATCTACCAATTTTCTGCACAAATAATAGGGTCATCACCAACCCCAGCTTTGAATCTAAGTTCAGCAAGGTCACTGACTTTCAGATCAACCCAGTAAAACCTTTCTAATGGCAATTGCCTGGCTACAAGAGGAGGGGCATGGCTTAAAGTTAAAAAAAAAAAAAAATCTGGTGACCAGGTGTTCTCTCAAAATGAAAGGCTACCAGCAAAGGTTGAGACAAAAAAATTGCAATTCTTATGAGGTGCGCCAAAGCTCATGAGAGATAATGCACCACTTCTTAGTGCATTCCTTCCTATATATTTTCAAATTGTTTTAACCTGTGATCCTGACCGACAGGAGTCTTGGACTGCGCCTAGGCGTCAGTCGAATGGTTTTGTATAGGTAGAGTCATACAGACAGTATACCTTTAGCATAGCACGGGTACTGTGAATGTTAATACTATGCGAAATCTACACATACTTTGTCCTTGTGGCTGATAGGCTGACGTATGTCTCTTAATTGAGGTATAAAGTGTGTATAAAAGGTATGAATGAGACTGGATATCTTCACAATACAAGAGATGTATTTGACCGGTTTCGATTACGTCTTCAACATACATCTCTTATATTGTGAAGATATCCAGTCTCATTCATACCTCTTCTACATTTGTCAACATGGATACGGTTCATGTATAAAGTGCGATTATTTGCATGTGATATTCCACGAGCTAAAGTCTTCTCACGAGACCCTTGAAAACTGCAAAGGAATTAATCCTTACCGAGACCGATTGAGGATTCTGAGGAAGAATTGTTAAAGGAATTCGTGAGGTTTGAGGTTTGAGGTGGTGTAAAGCAAGCTCTCCAGTAGGAGGGTTGATATGCTCTGCCTCTTGACCTCTGTCAGACTTTCCTTAGTTGGTAAAGTTGGTCTGGTATCACCTTGCATACTCAACCCCATGCAATGTTTCCACTGTCATGACTACATAGACAGAATTTAGCCCTGCCAGATATAGGAAAATAGACCATTCAGAGTGTCAGGTAAGAAACAGAACATCGAGAAAAATTAAACTGATTTGGGCTTTTATGTTGTCATTGCTGCAAATAGGTTTATTAAGCCAAGGGGATCATCTCCCAGCTTTAAAACTCGCCCTTTCACCTACCGGGTGACGCTGGCGTAACCTGGGCTAACCACTCATTTCACCCTCACGCATGAGCATGGCTAGCAAATGTACTCATCATCATCATTTGTTTGTTTCAGTTGTGTATTTGCGTGCATCATATAATTTCATATTCGTAAATACCTTTAAATGTGCTTTTGAGAGAAAGGTCGAAAAAAAAACCTTTTTCGCTTTTAAATGATAATTATGATGATTTAAACGTGAATTCAGGTAATTATCATGATTTTCATGATAATTCCTTTGTATGCAAATGTGTTTTATTATGTGAAATAATCTAACGTGCTGGAATAACTCATACAAATGCATAATAGCTGGACAAATGAAGACACAAGGAAAAGAAAATGACCTTTGCTAAAGCGCGGAGGCCGGGATATTACTTTCTGCGGAACTACTGCAATTCATAAATACTTTCAGATTAATGATGTGCTTCTTCTCAGAGAAAAATATATAATGTACAAGAGTAATACGCATAGCATAGTTACAGAAAAAAAACAGGAATCCAGCGCCCTTTGCCGAGGCGTGGAGACGTCGACAATCGCTTGCCATGAGTCATGTGGTCATGGATCAGTCAAAGCTTGAGTCAAAGCATGGAGTTCAACGCTTGAATATCAATATAGCTTTCGTCAATATTATCGCATCTTTCTCTTCATCTTGGCAAAAGTATAAACACCTAGGTATAAGGTTTTATATAATTTTATGAATAAGGAGTTATTTAGGAAATAGTGAAAGTCGTTTGTGTTCCCCTACACGTACTTTAATGAAAAGAATGAGCTCTATAATTCTGGCTCACTTTCAATAAAATATAGATTTATTACAACGGTGATGGTAATAATAACTAAGAATACAGAGATATTTGCATCATAAAATTACAAGTAATTTATGATAACAAGAAAATTCAAATAAGCACTGTAATTCTGGCTCACATTAGATATACGATGATTATAGAAACCAGGGATAATTATTGTGTATGAATAAAAAATAAGAAAGTGCTGACATCTTGTAACAAATTTGCGTTGCTATGTCATGAGCTACTTTTGAATTAACAGTGAAAGTGCATTGTGTTCTCTTAGATATATCTTAAAAGGTTAGATTTATTCAATAAGAACGAAGCGTACACACACTGAATTTATCACTTCAAAAGCGACTCGTGGTATAGCAAAACAAAGGGGAAAATACAAGATACAAGAAGCTATTAAGATATCCTTTTACTTTTTTCATCAAACAATTTTAACTTCTATATCAACTTTAAAGTAGGATGGTGATAGTTGTCAGTCTTGTTTAATTTTCTTAATAATTGCATGAATTACCTCTACTGCAAATGCAACAAAAAATTATAAACTGATCTTTATAAACGTTTCATCAGAGTTGTGTCTTGGCCGTAAGATTCTATTAAATTTTGGTGGTGATTGCATCAGTTACCTTTATCGCCTTGTCTCGGCCAAGGAGGTTATGTTTAAGGACGTCACCTGGGTACTTGAAAAAGGTAATTTTAATCTAATTCTTCGTGTGAATATTCTTAATGCATCAGTTATCCTATATATATATATATATATATATATATATATATATATATATATATATATATATATATATATATATTGTGTGTGTGTGTGTCTGTGTACATATATATTCTTTCTTTCTCTTTTGAGGCAGAGTTGAGAACATTTCGAGTCTCAATGGAAATCAAGTAATTTTCGTAGTCTGAAAATGTCCGTGGATTCCACTCCTGATATTTAAGTAGCCGTTGCTCCAACGTTCTTTTGTCACTTTGCTCTGGCTATGTAATCCTAGTTTTTTCTCCAGTACAGGGACGGAAAATTAAAACATCAAGTACAAGCAGTATTCGCCTTTTTCTTTATTGTTTTCTCTTGGAATAGAATGCTTTAGTTATAGCTAAAATACGTCAGGCTTTATCAAAGAAAACTATAATTTTTAGGGTAAACTTAGTTATCATTCAAACTAACTCCAAGCGAAAAAAACACACACACATGGGCATAAAATTTATTAATAGAGATCGAAATATCAAAATACATAGACATATTCGCGAAGAACAACGGTATGTATGTACTTACGTCAACAAATCAATCACAATACTATGTTATATAAGCGATAGATAATTATCGCTGCTAATACAAAGCACAAGGTGAAGATAGGGCAGAAATCTAAAATATCTGTGGAAATCTTGATATTAAATATGTTCACTGTCAAGGTTAAACAGCAGGACCAGTTATCTCTCTCTCTCTCTCTCTCTCTCTCTCTCTCTCTCTCTCTATCTATCTCTCTCTCTCTCTCTCTATCTCTCTCTCTCTCTATCTCTATCTCTATCTATCTCTCTCTCTCTCTATCTATCTCTCCTCTCTCTCTCTCCCTCTCTCTCTCTCTCTCTCTCTCTCTCTCTCTCTCGCCTAAACACACACACGCATGCACAAACACACACGCACACAAGAGTATGTGTGTTTATAATATATTCACACCCTACACAACAATTTTGCATATCTTCATTCGGATCTACAATGTCGCGAAAAATGCACAATACATCTTCCGTTTGTCTTTGCTTTCGGTGAATTCATGAAAGGTTTCATCATTATCAACATTGATGATTTATAACGCTATCAGTTTAAACACATTCCCATTCATTATTATCAAAATTATCATTTCAAGTGTGCACTACAACTATGGTGAGCATCAAATAAAGCATATTCATGATCATATTATAGTTCAAAAACACAAACACAATATTCATCAAGAGAGAGAGAGAGAGAGAGAGAGAGAGAGAGAGAGAGAGAGAGAGAGAGAGAGAGAGAGAGAGAGAGAGAGAGAGAGAGAGAGAGAGAGAGAGAATCTGAAATCAATTACAGGCAATCAAGAGGAAATTAATTCGTCTTATAATCTACAGTAACTGATATCGAATATATCCTGA